GGTTTGGGCGAGCCCCCCCTCCCCCTGCCATGAAGGCAGCTGGGGCGCATTGGGGGACACCCCGAGTACCTTGAAGCAGCGCTTGGGGACCTCGTCCTCGCCGTCACTGTCGCTGTCGGTGAAGTCCATCCCGGCCCAGGGTGGTCCCTTGCAGAAGGGCCGTGGGGCCAAGTCGCAGACCCAGCGCTCGCTCTCCGGCTGCGGGGACAAGCCGGCCGCCGCACCACCGTTAACGCCACCCCACCGGCATCCCGTCCCCCAACAGGGTCCCCGCTCCCTCACCACCTTCCCGGCCAGGACCGGAGGGTGCAGTAAGGGCTGAGCCCCCCATCCCCAGCGTGGGGAGGGGGTCCTGGGGCGGGGGGCACCCACCCACCTCTTCAGCCTCCAGCAGCCCACACAGGAGGAGCTTGTCCACGATGTCCCGGCTTTGGCAGTCGAGGGGCTGGCAGGGCTGGGGGAGAGGAGGAAAGGGGCTGGCCGGCAGCCGGACTCCCCGCAGCCACGCAGGCAGCGGTGACGGGCCACTTCCACGCGATGGCAGTGCCAGCCCGCGCCGCCAGCCCCTACCTGGAGCCCCAGCAGGTTTGGGGGCAGCAGCTGGAGCAGCTCCAGGGTCTTGCGGTGGAGCTCGTCCTGGCTGAGCACGATGCCGGAGGGTCCGTCGGTTGCCCCCAGGAAGGGCACCATCTCCATCAGCAAGGCACGGATGGCGCACGCTGCCGGGAAAGCCGTGTCACCAATTGCCCCGGCGTCACTGATCCCCGGCGTCGCCGATCCCCCAAACCTTCCTCCGTACCTCCCACCGCCTCGCTGGCAAAGACGGGCAGGATGGCAGCACTGTGGTGGCCCAGCTCCCTCCGGGCCTCCGCCGAGACCTCAGGGACCACCAGGACATCACCAATGGGGGAGAGGTGGTAGAAGGTGAGACGGGCTCTGAGCAGGACGAGGCTGTGCTGCACCAGGGCACGGAGCTGCCCTGAGAAGCCCACATCGCGCTGGCGCAGCAGGATCTCCTCCAGCAGCCAGGCGAAGTCCAGCATCAGCCGGGAGAGGAAGACACCCTGGAGGAAGAGGAGGAGAAGCTGCCCCCTCCTCTGCATGGCGGGGGGGGGGCTCCAGAAATCTTGCTCCAAAAGACGAGAAACCCGGACACCTCCTTGTCTCTCACCTCCCAGTGCTTGTGCAGCAGCAGCGCAGACGTGATCCCCACAGCCATGACGGCGGAGCAGGCAACGCCATCTGCAAAGGAGGGAGAGGGGCTTGTTAGCCGCCCGGAGATTAGCCCCCAACCCCGAGCCCAAGGGGAAGAGAAGGCAATGGTGGTGACATCCCAAGGGATGTCACCCAACGGATGCTGGGGTGCTTTGCCAGCCCCCCATTGTTTATGCTCTCCGTTTCCAGTCGGGGAACATGCACTGCCAGGCAGCCATCACCCCACTGGCTGCATCGCCACAGCACAGCGAAATAACCGGTAACGGCACAGCTGCCTCCGCGCCGGTGGGAGTGGGGAGATGCCCTCACAAGGGGTGACCCTGGCAGGACCGGGCAAGTGAGGCTGACCTGCAGCCCTGCACGGACCCGCAGATGGCTGGAGGACGGACTCCCGCCTGCCAAAACAGATCTCTCACCGCTCAGGGAATGCAGGCCCAGCTTGGTCACCAACATTTCCTCGTCTGCCTCCAAGCTGGCAACCATTGCAGGGCTGGGACCCCAAATCCCTGCCTTCTTGCCATCCAGCTGGCTGGGGCTGGAAAAAAACAGGGCGAGAGGGGTGAGAAAGCGGGGCTGGGGGCAGACTTTGGAGGTGAGATGCTGCCCCAAGGCTCCTGCTTACCACACGCCGAGGATGGTGGGCAGCAGCAGCTCCTCCAGCGGCTTCCCCGTGCAGCTCTGCCTGACGAGGTTTTTGGCCACAAACTCCTGGGAACGAGGACAAACGAGCCTGTCGGTGCTCGCCAGCCCTCAGCACCAACAAGCCGACTTGATCCCTTGGGTCCCCAGAGCCCCAGCAAGCCCCCAACTTCCCCTAGAGATGGGTTTGCCAGATCCCCTGGAGCACACCAGATCCCCCCAGCCACCCCAAACCCCTCCGTCCAACCCGCAGAGGCTTGCGCAGCCACCGACATCACAGCAATAAACCCTCCAGGGCCGGGGTGGATCCAGACAGGAGCTGGAAACCCCGCTGCCGTACCTGTAAGGAGAAGGGCTGGGCGAAGTCCACGCGGACGCAGCCGAGATTTCGGCGTACGGCCCAGCACGCTGCCCAGAGGCAAGCGCCGAGGCCAAAGAGCCGAGCACTGTGCTGGGAGGAGAGGGAACCAAAGCGTTAATGGGGTGACGGAGGCGGGCACCGCTCCCCGGGGACGCAGCTGGCAATTTGGGTGCTGCGCCCACACCAGCAAGACCTCTCACCGCTCCTTCCCGGTGCAAACCGCCAGGGACCATGTCGTAGGAGATGCCCACGGGGACCAGGAAGACGTCGGGGACGGCACCGTCCCGCACGGCTCGGTACACCAGGGCCAGCCACTCGCGGGCAGGGGCAGAGAGGCACAGGGCGATGGGGGGCTCTTCCAGGAAGATGAGCAGGGGCTGTTGGCTCCTCAGCACCTCCTCGACATACTGGTGGGGAAGACGGGGTGAGGCTGGGGGGTACCAGCGGCACCACAGGGACACAGGGGAGCTGCCCGCATCCATTGGACGGCCAAAAGTCTCAGCCAGCCTGTAGTTGAGACATCCCTAGACGCCTTCACCGAGCACTTTTGAAGCTCGTGGGGATGTTTCATCGCTCCCAGCACCCCGGGAAAGCCAGGACTGGACCTACCGCAGCCAGGACAGCCCCCAGGAGCCCTTCATCCTGGTCGCTCGGCATCTGCCCTGTCCTCGAAGGCAGGAAAATCCCTCCCAGGCGGCCGAGTAGGGCTCTGCAGGGGAAAGAGGACACCACGGGCGCCCACCTTGCATGGGGCCACGTCCCCCCCATTCCCCACCTCGGCTTTGCAAGTGCAATTCCCTCCTCCCAATCCAAAGACCTGGCTGCTTGCTGGGCTCGAGCAAGCATCTGCCGTGCCTTACCGGAGGCGAGGGCTGCAGACCTGGCCGCCCACTGTCACCCTGGGCACCCCCAGCCCCTGGGAGAAGAGGACGAAGGACAGGAGCAGCCCATCCAGCTGGGATTTGTGAGTCGAGAGGAAAACCAGCGGCACGCCGGACTGCAAGGAATGCGGCCAGGGCTCAGCGCCCGGTGTGCCGGCAGCAAGGCGCGGGGCTGAGAGCAGCTCACTGGGCTCCCTACCATCCTGGCGGCCCTGAGCACCATCTCCAGCTGCCCTTGGTGGAGCTGCACATTGAGGAAGAGGCGATTCAGGAGCTTGAGCAGAGCCCAGTTACACAGCCTGCAAGAAAACAAGCAAGTGAGCAACCTCAGGGGGCTGTGGCTGCCCCCAACCCTCCCCACAGACCTCATCCAGGCCACCCTTCCCTGCCTCAGTTTCCCCACCTGGGCAGCAAAGGGGGCTGCGTGAGACAGCTCGACTCAGAATCTCACTTCTCAGTGCCCGTAAAGCAAATAAAGAGCTTTATTATAAATTAAGTTAAAACATTAAAGGCTGGATGTGACAAGACCACATCCTTCTCCCCCCAGCAACAAAAGCTGAAGTCAATTACCCCTCCATCTCCCGTCCTCCCGCATGCTGTTTACAGGAAGGATCCGAACACTTTTATCCCCTGGGTAATTTCTTCTCTTTAAATACTTCGTGCTGCTCAGAGGGTTCTTTTATTACAGCTCAATCAGACAAGCAATTAGGCTACAATGCAACCTCTAATTGCCAATTTCTCAATGACAGGAGGAAAAAAAAAGAAGAGAAGAGGAGAGAGAGAGAGAGAGAAAGGAAAAGTTCCCTTTTGCTTTGCTTTGACTCCCATCCTCCCAGTGGTTTTGGTTTTTTTTTTTTTCCTCCCTCCCTTCTCCACTCCGGTGTCAGATTCCAGTTCCCTGGAAGGATTTGGGGGAAATATCCCCAGGGAGCTGCACGGGACCCCAAGGGCTGCCTGCCCTGCCAGTGTCACCCTGGGCTCTCTGCACACACATCCCCCAAAGGATCCATGTGCATCCCCCAAAGGATCCCAGCATATCCCCCAAAGGATGGCTCGCAGGCACGGAGCCACCGCAGGGGCTTAATGCACAAATTAAGAGCGTGAGAGACCTGCAGTGGAGGAGAGGGACCGGGAATGCCCCAACCAGGAACTGGGATCCCCCCAGGAGGAGGCAGGAGATGCCTGTGAAGGAGGATCCGCACCCACGACCTTCCCCGGAGAGGAAGCTCAGACCTCAGCATGAGAAGGGAGAGCGGGGCCTGGATTTCAGCCAGGATCTTGATTATTTTCTCCTTCCACTGCCGGTGGGATTCGCCATCCCCTCTCGAGCCACGGGACCAGCCGGTAGCGACATCCCATACCCTGTGAAGGGGATGGACAGGGTGTGGGAAGCACAAGGCAGAGCAAGGGGTTAAAAAGCATTCTGCATTACAGTAATTACAATGTACTGGCTGCCAGCCTCCTGCTGTGTAATTAGTGATGACAACCAGTTAGGTGACAGTTGCCTGACAAGGCCATGTCACCCCAGACGCCATATGCTCAGGACAGGGTGAGACCGGGAGAGCCTCAGCGGCATCCTAGGGCAGAGCCCGGCGACAGGAAAGCCGGTTCCCCGCCGAACCGGGGTACGGGCTCCTTTTGGGGAGTGCT